TTTTGATCCGTCAGTTTAAAAGATCAAGTTTGCGTTATGTAGGGTTTAAAAGCAGAAACAGCTGGACCTCATCCGACACGTTACTGAAACAGGGCTGCTGTGAAATGAAGCGAATCACTCAAAAGGCAACGACAGGAAGGAAAGCTTCATGTGTGAGGTGTGAAAAATGACAACGAAAGAAGAAGGAGGCGTCCGTTAGAAAACTGACATTATGACCCGAGAGCAGCATGAAGACAAGAAGAGGAAAAACATGATCCATGTTCCTCGAGATGAGATGATCCCCCCCCCCCACATCAAGATTAAGCAACTTTATCCAGCATGCATTCCTCCTTCAGCTTATCTCTGTTTCACAAGAGTGTAAACTCCTCACTCTCACAGCTGACTTTCCTCTGCTCCATCATTTTGTACTGCTCCCTCTCCTTTAGCACTTTGATATCATTTCTCTGAGATGTTCCAAACCACAGCAATAAAAAATGACTAGAGCCCGACCGATTAATCAATCCGCCAATATTAACATGTGACTTTCAGTATCGGCTAATTTTATCTCAGATATGTGCCGATATGGTTTCTCTCATTAATGTCAGAGAGGCCATTTCTACATTTGATTGGATCTGAAGTTAACATTTTGGTATGAGGGGATTTCTGCCACACGGTGAAGGTCGGTGTGTAAGGGTTAAAATAACTGTGTTTGCAGTGTGTGTGCAAACAGGGAGCGCGAGTAACAGCTTGATGTAAGAACTCACACAAAGAGTTGAAGCTACCTGCTAATGACGCTTCCTGCCACTGTAAACAACACGGGGGAAACAGATGAAATGACACCACACCAGGAACCCAGATGAACTATTTTAGGCTCGTCACAGAAAGAGAAATGTAATGATACAAGGCTAAAGTTAGCCAAGTTTAATCAATCAATCTTTATTATAGAGCAAATGTTATCTCAAGACTCTTAACAGAAGAGCAGGTAAAATACCTTACTCATGTATGTTGATATATTTTACATTTTAAGGACATAAGATTAAAATAGTGGTTAATATATCGATTAATAAAACACAAAACACGAGAAGAAATAGAGTTGTCATGATCCTAGAATGTTTTACTTCAATACGTTAGCCTACTCATAATCAAAGGAGGATTAATCACTTTCTTATTAGAATAGAATAGAATAGAATAGAATAGAATAGAATAGAATAGAACAGGATAGAATAGAGTAGGATAGAATAGAATAGATAGAATAGAGTAGGATAGAGTAGAATAGATAGAATAGAATAGAATAGAACAGGATAGAGTAGAATAGAATAGAATAGATAAAATAGAACAGGATAGAGTAGGATAGAGTAGGATAGAGTAGAATAGAATAGATAGAATAGATAGAATAGAATAGAATAGAATAGAATAGAATAGAACAGGATATAGTAGAATAGAATAGAATAGAATAGAATAGAATAGAACAGGATAGAGTAGATAGAATAGATAGAATAGAACAGGATAGAGTAGGATAGAATAGAATAGAATAGATAGAATAGAATAGAACAGGATAGAGTAGAATAGAATAGAATAGAATAGAATAGATAAAATAGAACAGGATAGAGTAGGATAGAGTAGGATAGAGTAGAATAGAATAGATAGAATAGAATAGAATAGAATAGAATAGAATAGAATAGAATAGAATAGAATAGAATAGATAGAATAGATAGAATAGAACAGGATAGAGTAGGATAGAATAGAATAGAATAGATAGAATAGATAGAATAGAACAGGATAGAGTAGGATAGAATAGAATAGAATAGATAGAATAGAATAGAATAGAATAGAGTAGAATAGAATAGAATAGAATAGAATAGAATAGAATAGAATAGAATAGAATAGAATAGAGTAGGATAGAATAGAATAGCATAGAATAGAATAGAATAGAAGAGGGTAGAGTAGGATAGAATAGAATAGATAGAATAGATAGAATAGAACAGGATAGAGTAGGATAGAATAGAATACAATAGATAGAATAGATAGAATAGAACAGGATAGAGTAGGATAGAATAGAATAGAATAGATAGAATAGAATAGAACAGGATAGAGTAGAATAGAATAGAATAGAATAGATAGAATAGATAGAATAGAACAGGATAGAGTAGGATAGAATAGAATAGAATAGAATAGAATAGAACAGGATATAGTAGAATAGAATAGAATAGAATAGAATAGAATAGAATAGAATAGAATAGAATAGAATAGAGTAGGATAGAATAGAATAGCATAGAATAGAATAGAATAGAAGAGGGTAGAGTAGGATAGAATAGAATAGATAGAATAGATAGAATAGAACAGGATAGAGTAGGATAGAATAGAATAGAATAGAATAGAATAGAACAGGATATAGTAGAATAGAATAGAATAGAATAGAATAGAATAGAATAGAATAGAATAGAATAGAATAGAGTAGGATAGAATAGAATAGCATAGAATAGAATAGAATAGAAGAGGGTAGAGTAGGATAGAATAGAATAGATAGAATAGATAGAATAGAACAGGATAGAGTAGGATAGAATAGAATAGAATAGATAGAATAGATAGAATAGAACAGGATAGAGTAGGATAGAATAGAATAGAATAGATAGAATAGAATAGAACAGGATAGAGTAGAATAGAATAGAATAGAATAGAATAGATAAAATAGAACAGGATAGAGTAGGATAGAGTAGGATAGAGTAGAATAGAATAGAATAGAATAGAATAGAATAGAACAGGATATAGTAGAATAGAATAGAATAGAATAGAATAGAATAGAATAGAGTAGGATAGAATAGAATAGCATAGAATAGAATAGAATAGAATAGAATAGAATAGATAGAATAGATAGAATAGAACAGGATATAGTAGAATAGAATAGAATAGAATAGAATAGAATAGAATAGAATAGAATAGAGTAGGATAGAATAGAATAGCATAGAATAGAATAGAATAGAAGAGGGTAGAGTAGGATAGAATAGAATAGATAGAATAGATAGAATAGAACAGGATAGAGTAGGATAGAATAGAATAGAATAGATAGAATAGATAGAATAGATAGAATAGATAGAATAGAACAGGATAGAGTAGGATAGAATAGAATAGAATAGAATAGAACAGGATATAGTAGAATAGAATAGAATAGAATAGAATAGAAGAGGGTAGAGTAGGATAGAATAGAATAGATAGAATAGATAGAATAGAACAGGATAGAGTAGGATAGAATAGAATAGAATAGATAGAATAGATAGAATAGAACAGGATAGAGTAGGATAGAATAGAATAGAATAGATAGAATAGAATAGAACAGGATAGAGTAGAATAGAATAGAATAGAATAGAATAGATAAAATAGAACAGGATAGAGTAGGATAGAGTAGGATAGAGTAGAATAGAATAGAATAGAATAGAATAGAATAGAACAGGATATAGTAGAATAGAATAGAATAGAATAGAATAGAATAGAATAGAGTAGGATAGAATAGAATAGCATAGAATAGAATAGAATAGAATAGAATAGATAGAATAGATAGAATAGAATAGAACAGGATAGAGTAGAATAGAATAGAATAGAATAGAATAGATAAAATAGAACAGGATAGAGTAGGATAGAGTAGGATAGAGTAGAATAGAATAGAATAGAATAGAATAGAATAGAACAGGATATAGTAGAATAGAATAGAATAGAATAGAATAGAATAGAATAGAGTAGGATAGAATAGAACAGGATAGAGTAGGATAGAATAGAATAGAATAGATAGAATAGAATAGAACAGGATAGAGTAGAATAGAATAGAATAGAATAGATAGAATAGATAGAATAGAACAGGATAGAGTAGGATAGAATAGAATAGAATAGAATAGAATAGAACAGGATATAGTAGAATAGAATAGAATAGAATAGAATAGAATAGAATAGAATAGAATAGAATAGAATAGAGTAGGATAGAATAGAATAGCATAGAATAGAATAGAATAGAAGAGGGTAGAGTAGGATAGAATAGAATAGATAGAATAGATAGAATAGAACAGGATAGAGTAGGATAGAATAGAATAGAATAGATAGAATAGATAGAATAGAACAGGATAGAGTAGGATAGAATAGAATAGAATAGATAGAATAGAATAGAACAGGATAGAGTAGAATAGAATAGAATAGAATAGAATAGATAAAATAGAACAGGATAGAGTAGGATAGAGTAGGATAGAGTAGAATAGAATAGAATAGAATAGAATAGAATAGAACAGGATATAGTAGAATAGAATAGAATAGAATAGAATAGAATAGAATAGAATAGAATAGAATAGAATAGAGTAGGATAGAATAGAATAGCATAGAATAGAATAGAATAGAAGAGGGTAGAGTAGGATAGAATAGAATAGATAGAATAGATAGAATAGAACAGGATAGAGTAGGATAGAATAGAATAGAATAGATAGAATAGATAGAATAGAACAGGATAGAGTAGGATAGAATAGAATAGAATAGATAGAATAGAATAGAACAGGATAGAGTAGAATAGAATAGAATAGAATAGAATAGATAAAATAGAACAGGATAGAGTAGGATAGAGTAGGATAGAGTAGAATAGAATAGAATAGAATAGAATAGAATAGAACAGGATATAGTAGAATAGAATAGAATAGAATAGAATAGAATAGAATAGAGTAGGATAGAATAGAATAGCATAGAATAGAATAGAATAGAATAGAATAGATAGAATAGATAGAATAGAACAGGATAGAGTAGGATAGAATAGATAGAATAGATAGAATAGATAGAATAGAACAGGATAGAGTAGGATAGAATAGAATAGAATAGAATAGAATAGAACAGGATATAGTAGAATAGAATAGAATAGAATAGAATAGAATAGAATAGAATAGAATAGAATAGAGTAGGATAGAATAGAATAGCATAGAATAGAATAGAATAGAAGAGGGTAGAGTAGGATAGAATAGAATAGATAGAATAGATAGAATAGAACAGGATAGAGTAGGATAGAATAGAATAGAATAGATAGAATAGATAGAATAGAACAGGATAGAGTAGGATAGAATAGAATAGAATAGATAGAATAGAATAGAATAGAATAGAGTAGGATACAGTAGAATAGAATAGAATAGAACAGGATAGAGTAGAATAGAATAGAATAGAATAGAATAGAATAGAATAGATGTTTATTGCCCCTGCACAGGTACAGCACAGGTACATTGGAATTGTGTGTTTCTCTCTGAGTCAGCTCCTACAAAAAAAGTTAAAATTATATATAAAATAGAAAAACATTATGAAGAAAAAAAGAGTAGAAAAGTACAAATAAATAAGTTGTAGTAACAGCTAAGTGATTTAAAATAAACTGTACAGAAGTTATACTCTGTATTAAAGCAAAGATATAATACAAACAAATAACAAAGGAGAACACTGAACAATGAAATGAAAATATAAATATGTTTTCTCTTCACATATTTTTCACATTATATAATTGCACTGTTTTTTGTTTTTAAGGTTAACCTGTTTTATTAAATATTTGTACTTTCTTAAAGCGTCTGTTCATTTTGATACTATCGATCCTCATCTGTGATTTATCGTTTTTAGTATCGTAATATCGAACATTTTGACATCTGTAAGGTGGAGAAACAGTTTTAAGCTAGCTGCGTGCGCACCCCGCGAATCAGACGTTAACGACCGTTAAAATCTCGCGAGAGTTTTGAAATAGAGATTTAAAAGAAGAAAAACTGAATAAATTGATCACTTTTCAATACAAAATAAATATGTAATTTTTTTTAAGATACAAAGATGCAACTTACCGTCATGATAACAGGATCCAGGGAGGTTTAAAAAATAAAAAAAGACAAAAGAAAAGTACCGTTACCTCCTTAAATAAAAATCCTTTTTACTGTCAGTTTGACGACTTAACGAAGAAGAGGAAGAAGAAGAAGAAGAAGAAGAAGAAGAGGAGTCTCTCCGGGGAAAACTTTGCTTTCTGTGAACAGAGATAAAGCCCCGCCATTCATCCCCATGTTAACCAAGCGAAGCGTCAACGTCCATGACAGAAACGAGTTTATCCCGTCGTGAGGGGCAAAGTGTGCAAACACGACCCAGAAGAAGACCGAAAGTTGACGTTAAAAAGTGATCAATAGAAAAGTTTCTAACAAGTCGTGAGAGTCAGACTCTGCTCGCTGCTCTCTCTTCCACTTCCTGGGCGGATCCGCGAAGATCGTTTGAGGAAAACATGCTTACCACACCAAACCACACGATGCTGGCTCGAAAACACACCATCAGGGACTCCCAGTGGCTGAAGGGATTCAGTAAGGTGCCCAGCAACGTGTGAACTGGTATAGTTCCTTTAAATTGTGCTCTCAACAGGTTATTATTAACAGAAAACTCATTCAAATGCTCAATCGGAGGTCTCACTCCAACTCTTTCCTCGGGACCAAATCTCTCTAAAACATCTTTGGGGGATCTTTGATATGGAAAGTTTATTAATCCTCATCTCTCCAACACATACACGTTCCCTTTTTATTGCCTGGCTGGATGAAAATAATTTGAGCTACCTAACAATGTGCCCCCCCCACCCTCTCTAAAAACTTCTTTTGGTAGCTATTGGTTTCAGTTCAGGAATTTCAACACATGCCCCAGCAGACCACAATTGACAAAAGCTCAGTCAGTCTTATGAAATGCCTGCAGGGTGGAGGTGAAGTCTGCAGACACACAACAACCAGCCCTCAGAACAGAATCTAACAGAAGGTAGAGGTGGTGTACATATGTCAACAGATAAGGGCGCCAAGTGCATAAAAGCTTTATGATTATAGACAGGATCAGTGTGAACAGTGGACAAGCTGCCAGCCTGTCTGGTCAATATGTAACAGAGAGATAGCATATATTGAAATAGGCTCAACTCCAGCAATCTATTGAACCGTGGGTGCTGGAGGGCTTAAATATTTGTGATAACAGAAACATCTGCAGTTGCTTCACTCACACAGGAAGAGAGGTTGTTCTGCACAAACATGCATTTACATACATCAGGGTTTAACATATTTTTAGTGGACCAGCTGCACATACCTGCATTTGTTCTGATCTGTGATGATTACCTTTCCAAGGACTGCCCTCGTCTGCTGTGGGACTGCCCGACCGCTGGAAACACAGAAAACGCTCACAGTGATCATCAAGGTCTGATTGAGCAAACACGGAAACTTCCAGAGTTTCACATCAAAAACCTGTCGTTGGTGTGGTTAACTATTAACATATTATGTAGGTAAAGACCACGGTGCATGAGCCACAATTCCAGATAAATGTCTAATATCGTACAGGACAAGTAGCTTAAAACAGAACACAGATCCCTGATTTATTCCAATAATTCGAAGTTCCCAGTCTTGACTTTTTACGGTTTAAAATCTAAATCTTTTCCAGTAAAGGTTTCTCTTAGGCCTGATTAATACTTAAGCATCAAATCAACCCCAAAGCTCTCAAAGAGCTTGAGTAGGTGTGAAGGAGATCTAGAGGGATGTTTTTCATAAAAATTTAAATATCTGCATAGAGGAGAAATATGATTAGGAGTGTCACATACTGTCACTGGCACTCAGGCCTCTGATTGTTGAATATTGACAGAATGATCGGCTCCAAGGATAGAGCAAACAGAGTGGAGATGGCGGGGGGGTCTGTAGCCAAACCTGGACTTAACCTCTAAGGTGGTGCCTGATAACTTGATATTTGAAAACTCTCTCTCGTCACCACTGGAACCTTCCCTTCCTAAAATGGTCACGTTTGGCCCCGGGAGATCTACATTGCTGCAGCCAAGATGTCAAACTTAAGGCTTCAGTAACAAACCAATGGGAGACATCGAGCCATGTCTGAGCTGTCACTCAGTTTATCTAAAGACAAATGGTTTGGACCAAAGAATAAAGAAGCTGTATGTATAGTCATGGACTATGCTGGGTCCTAGCACGGACCCATCATCGTTTAATAAAACTGACCTTGGCCCGAGCCTGCCTACCTGCAGTGAGGTGTAGGAGTGAGCTCGGGATAAATACCCACTGCCGCTATATTGGCAGTCTCTATCGGTGTCTCCTGTGTCGTCCCACTCTCTGGAGGGATGCTTGCTGAGCGAGTGGCTGGAATGACATCAACAGGTTACTTATGGGTGCGTCTTATTTGGAAGAAGGAATCATTTCATGCACAGAAATACTGACCTGGCTGGTTTGAAGAGTTCCTGCCTCCGGGGGGGCTGCGGGTTCTGAGTCCTACCCATGTGGCCTAGTCCTTCTCTCTGATGGATCATCTTGACCTTGGGCACGTCAGCGATCATGACGTACTCCTCTCTGGTCCTTCCTGTGGACCCCACTGACAGCTGGCCCGACTCGGAGGACTCCATGGAGCTCTGGGAGGAGGTGTACCTCTGCATTAGAATCTGAGGTGAAGGTGAAGGCGACGGGCTCCGTGCACGGTGGGAGGGCTTCTTGTTATCACGGGGCGGGCTCAGATCCTCCCGGCCGTGTCTGCTGATCTCCGATCGGATGCTTCCAGGCTTCCTGGGGGTTTCCAAAGTGATGGACACGGTTCTGTTTCCATTGGAGGTCTGTCTTAAAGGGGAGGCGGCTCGAGACAAAGACGAGCTGCGGTGGGAACGTGGCAATTTCTGCAGAGACGATGGAGAGTGACTGGTCTCTGGTGTTGAGTCTCGGTAAGTGAAGTGGTGATTTCTCTGATAGGAATGGCTGGGATCTCCATTGGTGGCATGTCTGAGGATTGAGTAGCCTGGTGGGTCAACGGGTCCTTCTCTGGTTGGAGGTGGGTTGCGACTGAACTGATGCTTGATGTTGAAGGAGCTGCCTGCTTCTGTTTTCTGCAGCGGCCGCCGGTTCAGATCATCGTAGCTTCTCCTCAACGTTAAAGAGTTCTGGAGTCCTCTAGCCGAACTGTTTGTTTCAGAGTGTCGCAGCAGAGAGCGAGAAGGAGCTTCACAGCTTCTCCTCAATGGGGAGGCGTTGCATCTTTCATGAACAGCGGCGTGCAACGATCCACTGGAGTCTTTGTTCCTAAGCTGGTACGGAGTCGGGGTTTCATAGTCCCTCCTTCCCAGAGAAGAACCACGGCTGTCACGACCTCGACTACCAATGACGGGGCTCGATTCAGTCTTACGCAGCACAGATGGACTTCTGTCGTAACCTTGCCTGGGCGGAGACACGTTTGGGCTTTCATGTTCTTCTTCCTGGTCGTTTATTTCGCTCCTCGCCGTGAGGTTACGCAGCAGCGCCTGACTCTCAAAGTCGTAGCCTTCTCTGACCGGGGAGCCGCAGCGTCCAGGGTGACCACGTCTGCTCAGAGAGAAAGTTGATTCAGATTTACGAAGGGGGGGTTGGCTGTAAGAGCTAGGATTCCTCCTCGGTGGACTCTCACGGGGACTTGTAGAAGTTCTCCTCGACGGAGGTGAAGTACGACTGTCTCGTCCTCGTGCATCAGTCGTGGGGATTTCCTGTCTGCGGAGAGACATTTGGCTTGAAGGGTTGAAGTCCCTTCTTGTAGGAGAAGAACTTCTGCTGTCACAACCTCGACCTCTCACTTCTGTTTTCCTCAAGGCGCTCCTGAAATCAGAAATGGTGTTGGTCTGGTTTTTGAATGAACTTGTAAATGATTTAAAGTTTCTTGGCAGCGTTCCCGACTCAACGCGTCGTCCATGTGCGCCCTGTGAGGAGCTTCTGGAACTGGGCTCCGCCCCTCGAGGCCGCCCTCCACCATCAAAGTTTCGACTGCTGAGCGAGGCGGTGGACTCGATGCGTCTGAATGTGGAGTTTCCTCTGGCTGGAGAAGGAGAGCGAGATTGCAGAGCGGAGCCGTGCCTTGAGGAATCAAAACGTCCCGACTGCTGACGGGGAGAGGAAGAAGAAGAAGAAGGGTTTCCCCGAGCGTATGAGCTGCTGACACTTTTACGACCAGGAGAAGCCAACGACTCAGCGATCTTAAAAGGAGTAGGACTTGGGGAACGGGGGCCGACTTGTGCTTCAACCTCGACCGCTATTTCATAAGGGTCAGGAGGCGGGATCTCCACCGGCAGGTTATCGTTCAGATAGTCCGTTATCTGCCTTTCAGAGGCGACGCCCAGGTTAGGGTTCCTGAAGGGGACGGCGTCTTTGGGCTCTACACTTCTGCTGCTGAAGATGGGACGTCCTCTCTCAAAATGGCGGAAAGGAGGAGGCGAGTTGTTATCTCTCAGTAGATGAGAACCTGATTCCCTCCCGAGGGAAAAGTACCCGCTCTCCCGTCTGTCTTCTTTTAACCCTGGAAGAGAAGAGAAGTGACAAAGTGAACCGAGCAGCTCCCGGAGGTTTCCTGACTCAAACGCAGATATATTGTATTTCTGATAATTGCTCTGGGACACCTCAGCTGGTGACATCCAACGGTATGGCCAAGAAAAGAAACACCTTTAGATGTAACTGGAGATCAGTTGGTCTAGTGCTGTAGGTCACATGTTTGCTGAAGTCGGAGATCAAGTTATGCTGTAACATTTAAAACTCCTCCAGTCGTTTCCTGTCCACCAACAAATAAAACAACTGACCGGTCCTGTGCTGTGTTTCCATGTACCTGGTTGTCTGGTGAAAGTGTCTCTGGTGGGAGCTTCCTCCATCCAGGCTCGATGTTTGGCCCGATGGGGCGGAGGGTCGAGCCGGGTCATTGAGAGTCTGGTTGGGCGGCGACGGATCGGCAGGTATTCGTCGTCTGCGCTGATGGAGCCGCTGAACTCCTGGTAGTGTCTCTGCTCTCGACAGCTGCACGCAGGAAGAGATGAGGGGAAGAATAAGGAGAGAGGAGGCGGAAACATGAGAGATGAAAACATGAAGGGAGGAGGGGGAGGAGTCAGCGACAGACGAAGGAAGAGTTCAAAATGATAGTGATAGGTACCAGTTTTTAGATATTGGTCTCAGTATCAGTACTGGTATCATATCAGGAAGTAAAACGTTGTTTTGACGGTTTATGTAAGCGTATGAGGAAACATGGTGATGAACAGAGCGAGTAAGCCTCAAAACAAACGACAACAGTTACTGTCTCTTTAAATAATGGTAACGCACCACTGTGCTGTGGTGAGAGTAAAGCTGACTTTAACCCTGAAGTGAACGAGTCGTCCCTCTGTTGATCCTAAACGTGTCACCCTGCAGCAGGCCTACCTGTCGGTGCTGTCGTCGTCGTCGTCCCCGTCACAGATGTAAAGCTCGCAGTCTGGACTCAGGATGCACAGAGAGCTCTCCTCACAAGGCACACGGCCTCCAGTGACATCACAGTAGCTGCTCACCACAGACAGAGCGTCAGAATCCTCCTGATAGGGTGACAAGGTGAGACACGGGGGCCAATCACAACGTCTCCAACTCCCTCCAAGTCAGAGAGGACAACAGCATGTCCA